TGAATGTACAAATGTGCTTTACACAATGGATGTATGTATGGATTGTGATAAGAGTTGTATGAGCCCCTAATAAAACGATTAAAAAAATTATCTTTGTTGGTACTTCCTGTCATTTGCTACTGTTATGAATTGGGCAACCCCTGTGAAAGGGTCGTTCAACCCTCAGGTTGAGAACCACTGGTGTAAGATATGAAAATAATAATAATTTATCAAAGGTCAATGAGGGTGGGAGGGTGGAAAAAAAATGAGCTGATACCAAGTGCTTCAGTAGAAAGAAAATGTTCTGAAAAGGATGATGGCAACGTATGTACAACTGTGCTTGACACACAGATGTAAGGACTGTGATACAAGCTGTAAGAGTCCCCAAGAAAATTATTTTTTTAAAAGGGGAGTGGACCGATCGCAATGATGGACATATAAATATCCCTCCCCCGGGGATGAATAACAGAAATCATGGGGGAAAGGAGACAGCTGTTGGTGTAAGATATAAAAATAATAAGAATTTGTAATTTATCAAGAAGTCATGAGGGTGGGAGGGAGGGTAAAAAGAGGAACTGAAACCAAGGGCTCAAACAGAAAGTAAATGTTTAGAAAATAATGATGGCAACATATGTACAAATATGCTTGATACAACTGACATATGAATTGTTATAAGAGCTGTAAGAGCTGCCAATAAAATGATCTTTTAAAAAAAAGCTTACAGCCTTGGAAACTGTCTGAACAGTTCTACTCTGTCCTAGCAGGTCTTATAACGGAAACTGACTGACAAGATAAGATGGTGCGCTGCCTTACCGGTAGCCGCCAAAATAGGAGCTGTGAGGATGGTGGTTTGGTTTTGGATTCAGTAGGAGTTCCACAGCTTTCTGGTTTCAGGTATTTTCTAGAATTCAGGACTCTAATGCCCTATATATGAAGTTGTTGCTAGGTGCTGTTGAGAGACTTTCAATTCGGAGTAGACGCTATGTAGTGCCATTTGAAATGACCAGTTTCTCTGAGGAGGAAGATACCATCCCATTGTACGTATGTGTGGTGAAGTGAAGTTTCTTAGTATGGCTCTTCTCTCCATGCCTCTCTTTAATGATTGGGTGGGGCCCTGCAAATAGGATGTGTGAACAGTGGGGAACGATGTTAGTTGCCATTCTCCTAGGTACAATAACGATCCATCTCAGCAGCAGGAACAGAGAATTTCCAGGACCACCAAAAAGAAACAAAAGGTATTGGTGGAGTATGTTAGAAATCCCTGTCCAAAGTGGTGGAAGACACCCATACCATGCCAAGACCAAAAAGGGTTTGTGGCAAGGAGATTATGAGACAGAACAAAAGAGCAGCGAGGAGACTGCGACTGTGAGGCAGAGCAGTAGGTGGGTTTTCTGGCCCACGAACGCAGAGGCCCGGGATAAAGTAGCTGAGCGGCTGAGAATCAGAGTTAGTTGCTGGCTGAGGAGAGGTATTGCTTTGGACCAATGACTACATCCTTAGTGTTTTCTGATCCTGGATTGTGATAACTGTTAACTTCCCTAATAAACCTTCTAAATTGTGAATAATGGTTGTGAGTTGTGTAACTACTGCAAAGGATTATTGAACCCAGCCAAAAAGTGCCATGGGAGGCTGGGTTGGTATTGGAATAGGGTAAAAGGAGGGTCTAGACATGCTTTACCTCTGCCTTATGGCACTCAGCCATGGGTTTGAATGGAGATGGATTCTCCTTATCCCTTCTGAAGCCAGGAGGTCAGAGGTGGTCTCCTCACTGTTTAATTAGTATGCACACATTTTGTTTGTTCATTTACTTGTTGATAGGCATTGACATTGTTTCTACCTTTTGATTACTGTGAATGGTACTGCAACGAACACTGGTATCTCTGTCTGTCTGTATGTCTTTGGGGCATATAATTAGGAATGAAATTGCTAGGCTACAGCATTCTGGTGGTGTAGTGGGTTACATGTTGGGCTGCTAAACGCAAGGTCACTTTAAAACCACCAGCCACTTCAAAGGAGAATCACCAGGCTTTTTACTGTAAAGTGGTTACAGTCTCAGAAACTCACGGGGGCCAGTTCTACCCTGTTCTATAGGATCGCTATAAGTCAGAATCAACTTGATGGTAACAGTTTTTCCCCCCATACCATTTCATTAGGACATAATCTAGACATCACATCATTTGATAGTTGTCATACCAAGAAGTGTTGTATAAGCACTATCACAATCAGTTTAAAAACATTTTCTTCCTTCTTGTACTCCTTGATATTAGCTCAACCCCCCCCCACCCCCCACCCCCCCGCCATACGCCCCAAGGACCTTTACCCTATTGTCACTATAGATTCACCCATCCTGGGTTTCACATACTGGAAAACTCAGAAAAATACATAAAAGAGTCAAGAAGGGTACCAAAAATAACAAAATGTAACAGATAAACCCCAGTTAAAAGAAAAAAGAAAATATTAAATACAAGTCCAAGCTCAAAGTGTATCTAAAGGGAGGTCAAATGATAAAATTTTAACCATTTAAGTCAGAATTTCCATTTTAATCTATTATAATTGTCTTTACAAGACTCTGATAACCATGCTGATCACCCATCCCTTTAATGTTCCATAATCATCTCTACAAATCTCTCT